CTAGTGTTTTACCAGTGCCATTATGTATCATTCATGCCATATGGACATGGTAACTTTGTTGTTGAACCTTGACATTCAACATCTAAAATGAAATATAATGTTTCTAATGTTTTACCAGTGCCATTATGTATCATGCATGCCATATGGACATGGTAACTTTGTTGTTGAACCTTGACATTGAACATCTAAAATGAAATATAATGTTTCTAGTGTTTTACCAGTGCCATTATGTATCATTCATGCCATATCGACATGGTAACTTTGTTGTTGAACCTTGACATTGGACATCTAAAATGAAATATAATGTTTCTAGTGTTTTACCAGTGCCATTATGTATCATTCATGCCATATGGACATGGTAACTTTGTTGTTGAACCTTGACATTGGACATCTAAAATGAAATATAATGTTTCTAATGTTTTACCAGTGCCATTATGTATCATTCATGCCATATGGACATGGTAACTTTGTTGTTGAACCTTGACATTCAACATCTAAAATGAAATATAATGTTTCTAATGTTTTACCAGTGCCATTATGTATCATTCATGCCATATGGACATGGTAACTTTGTTGTTGAACCTTGACATTCAACATCTAAAATGAAATATAATGTTTCTAATGTTTTACCAGTGCCATTATGTATCATTTATGCCATATGGACATGGTAACTTTGTTGTTGAACCTTGACATTCAACATCTAAAATGAAATATAATGTTTCTAGTGTTTTACCAGTGCCATTATGTATCATTCATGCCATATGGACATGGTAACTTTGTTGTTGAACCTTGACATTGAACATCTAAAATGAAATATAATGTTTCTAGTGTTTTACCAGTGCCATTATGTATCATTCATGCCATATGGACATGGTAACTTTGTTGTTGAACCTTGACATTGAACATCTAAAATGAAATATAATGTTTCTAGTGTTTTACCAGTGCCATTATGTATCATTCATGCCATATGGACATGGTAACTTTGTTGTTGAACCTTGACATTGAACATCTAAAATGAAATATAATGTTTCTAGTGTTTTACCAGTGCCATTATGTATCATTTATGCCATATGGACATGGTAACTTTGTTGTTGAACCTTGACATTGAACATCTAAAATGAAATATAATGTTTCTAGTGTTTTACCAGTGCCATTATGTATCATTCATGCCATATGGACATGGTAACTTTGTTGTTGAACCTTGACATTCAACATCTAAAATGAAATATAATGTTTCTAGTGTTTTACCAGTGCCATTATGTATCATTCATAGATGTATAGTTATAACTGTTCATGGCGATTTCTGTTTCTTTAAAATATTTCATGAACTTTACTTTTGATCATGTATAAGATATCAGCTAACTGTATGGCCTCTACCGGTTTTCTGTATTTATATGTTGGACATATGTTCAGGTTTGTACATTTTACAAGTGGATTGCAGATGTTGGTCAAAATGAAAGAAGGTGAATAAAGAATTAGGGTGCATGATGAAAAGCTAGATAAATGATGTTTTCCAATATACATGTATTTACTACTATATAAGTGTGAGTTCTCAACTATACTCCTCAAAAATTAAGAACCAGTCTTTTTCCTCATAGGTTTACATGTTAAACCTCATGTATGTTTGAACTCTATTTTCTATGCCCGAAACGAAAGAAAAGCTGATAATGTAAATGAATATACACCTTGACTCTTTTCTCTATATTTTAGAAATCTCTCCGTTGTAATAGATCAAAAATTGGTGTCTTTAATATTTTTTTTTAAAAATGGTAGAAGCTATGTAAACCAAATATCCATACATCGGATTGCTCTAAAAATTTAAATAGACCGAATTGAATTTAAATTTGCTAACTTGGCTACGATTTAAATTGATTTATTTCTCCGGTTTTTACAAAGCTATTAGTCTCCGAAGTCAAAATTATTTCTCAAAAACCTCTCATTGAAATAACACAGGGGGTCAGAAAATAAGTTCAAAAATACTCCGATAAATGTTTTACATGGGTTCTACCTTCTCTAATTCATCAAATTTGACATCAATTTTAAACCTAATGTAACGGAAAGATTAACTTGATTGAAAATTTCCAGAAATATAGAGATTAGAGCCAATGTACATATCCATTTACATTATCAGTTTTTCTTTCGTTTAGGGCTTAGAAAATAGAGTTCAAACATACATGGGTTTTAACATGTAAACCTATGAGGAAAAAGACTGGTTCTTAACGTTTTTGAGGAGTATGTTTATGCTTTATATACTGTCAATATGAAAATATCACGTGATGTGGTATGATATTTATCGATTGCGTCTGTACCGTCAGATTTAAAAACGTCAACCATGCATCTACATCACTCCTTCTCCACTGGCGTTTAACGTATCTCAAACATCATGCCTAGTAGCACAAAACTCACGGCACATGCATCTCTATGGGTTTTTATTAAATCCTATATATTATAATTCATTTGGTGTATTTTTCTAGCACAAGTAATGTGACTTTAATCAATACATCGATGATTCAATAAACTGGCTATAAATTAAGTATACACGTTGATCGGTGAGTGAGTAACTTTGCATATTGTAAGATTTTCAGCAGACGCCATGTATTTCCTATGAACAACTTTAAAGTAGAATTTAAGGTAAGTTATATCATGGGCTTTCAATTAACTCTGTGTAATAAACATGGGACCTTCAAAATGAGCAATGCCATGCTTCCCTTTTATGGTAAATAATATTTCAAAAAGTAGTAGATAAATGTATATGTTTTAGTATTATTTTGAATAAAAATAAATTTTCAATATGATTAAAGCATAAGATACATTCAATCTCATGTAAAAGTAAACAAAAAAGACCAATAAGAATAAGAGGTATCAAGATGTTCTCTTCGAATATTGCATTGTGGGTAATTATTCAAGAACACATTCCAATAAAAACATAATTTGTGGGAGAATGTTCGCTTTGTGTATTGTCACAATTATGATGAATTCCATTTTTTATCAAATTATCAACATGTATGTAGATAATCATGTTTTTATTTTTGAGTTAATTCTTTAAACCATCCATAAAAAGTACAAAATAAGGTTTTCCTTTGAATGTGTACATTCTCCAATTTTGAAAACCCAAAGGCAATGCTTATGTGTGAAAAATGGGAAGTTGCCTACCCTTCTAGTTGAAAGCCCATGGTTAAATTCATTTACATGGACTCCATTTTAAAAATATATACGACTTGGGCTTTTATTTATATAGAACATTGGTCAGATAGTATATTTGGAAGATTTGTTGGAATAAATCAGTCATTCTGTCAAATTATTCTACTTCGACGTAGCAAAGTGATAGTGATAACGTAACAGATACCTAAGAGTAGATAGAAACGACGTAGCAATCGCAGCTCATATTTTTGTGTTGTGTTATCAATGTAAAGTATACTAAATAACAACATTTCCTGTATTTTTGAGGACCATTAAAGGCCCCATATAAAGTTTAAACCACTTTGGCTTATATTGTAGTCTTACCCAATGTTATCAAAGTGTGATACAGTATGTGGTTTTTGACAGACTTTTTGTTCCAAAATTTGTGAATTTATTTAAAACCAACTTTTAGAGGTCACTCATATCTTCTAATTAGCCACAATTCATACCAATGCATAGCATTCATCCTCCCATGTTTTTTGCCGAAAAAATTAAGAAAATCGGTTCATAAATAAGCGAGAAATGAACTTATCAGTGCATGAAAATGGTTCTGAGAAAAATGCATTTCAAAATTTTAGTTCTCATAGAAACCAATGGTACAATGATATCTAAAACATAATTTATGCTTCCTTTTAACCTGGTTAGACTATCAACATTGGGTTTTTATGAAAGTCTAGCATATTTAGAAAAGATTGACATCGAAAAAAAAATTCCAATTTTTTTCAAAAAGTTTTTGCTACCTTAGTGACATCACTAATGTTTCAAAATATTTTTGATATGCTAAAACATTGAAGTGGCCCATCAAATATGGCATTTTATTGTTTAAATAGAGTGTCCTTTGTTCAATATTTGCATTGGTGTTAAAAAGATAATCTTTTTTGAAATGCATTAAGAAATATTTGATGATTAAGAAATTTCAACATTTTTTGAAAATGGCGGGAAATTTGAATATTTGAGAAATGAAATGCTCACAACTTTTTTTTCAAAAATTTTTTTTTGTTCAAAAATCTCTAAAATCACTTTTTAAGTCCTGACAAATAGTAAATGAATGTTAAAAAAAATATTTTCAAACTTTAGACGGGGACTTTAAGGAACATTATATAAGCTTAAAGTTACTTATAGTGATGCGTCTTATTTCAGTGTGATCACACGTCTTTACATAGGTGCAGTCTGAATTTAAAAGTTTTTTCTATAAATATGTTGAATCATTTCAACCATTTTGCTTATACAAAAGTTAATATTTCTGTGAGGAGGTCGATGTTACGTAGCAATCATTGCATTTTAGACATGGTGGATCTTGTTGTTTATTTGCGTATGGTATACGATTATATATGTATTTGTGAAAATAACACTAGCTGAAACACTTGAGAATTATTTAACTGTGAAACGTAGGTGTTACATCATTGGGTTTTCAAACAAAACTTACCCCTTCTCCCCATCCTAATTGTGTTGGAAATGTGGATTTCCCACTCAATGAGGAAATGGAAATGTGGATTTCCCACTCAATGAGGATATTCCCCAGGCATGTAGTTCATAGGAGATTTGAGCGCTCCATTTGTCGCCACTTAATCGAAGCATCTTGTTTTTGATTAAAATGCAGATCATTCATGGTTTAGAAAACCATCAATGAATAAAAACAAATGATTTAATAAAACTCCATAGAGATACATGTGCCGTGAGTTTTGTGTTACTAGGCATGATGTTTGAGATACGTTAAACGCCAGTGTCTCAATGCAACATCTGTATTTGTGAATGATTACATACATACGCATGGGCCCTTTTGTTCATAGACCCTCACCATGATATGAACAATGATTTACCTTGATGTTTTGATATCACAGCAGCATTCAGTCCGATAAGGAAAACAAGCAGAGGCCACATTATAATTTGTTGTCTGATGTAGGTATGTAGAAAGTCATTTATTCAACATTTTCTCGGTTGTAACCCTGTTTGTATCGTAATATTAGTCAGTATAATCCCTCCATTTGAGTTCATAGTATAGTTGTCTGATAGTTGATTTGTTAAGATGTCCCACTTAATATCAAAACGAAACCAAAATACATTTTCTTATCAGTGGCCGATATGATATAACATTGTCAGTATACCTTACAGTAAGAGGTTCATAAATCACCCTTATATTATTCGCTTATTTACAATCACTTGTAAAAAAGGCAGGTAAACAATTCATACTCACTTGGAGTAACATACCTCAGATGTTGGTCTCAGATTCTCCAAACGATGAAATACCAACCTTTTGTTTCTAACTTATTAATCTTAACCAGAATCATGGTTTTGGACGGAATGTTACCTCACAATTACAAAACCCCATAAACCCCAGATCCGTGCATTTCTAAACAACAAAGTCTAAACGTTTAAACTGATTCATATGTTAGAGTCATAATATTCATGTAAAGTAGTATAGTCCAACCAACATGATTCTGTAACGACCTTCGATAGCTGTAGCTCAGCTGTAGTGGCTAGCCTTTATGGCTCAGGGGTAGAGCGTCTCACTCTTGGAGAGCGGAAGGTCTTGGGTTCGATTCCCGCAATGGGCGTTGAATTTAGCACACTCCCTTTCGAGTCTAGTATCTGGCTTGGTACACTACAGCTCCCCGACGGACGTGCCCAAGGGTCGTTACAATTCCATACATTATGATTATCTCATTCAATTTCAGTTTCCTTTCAGATTTAGACCAATCGAAAGAGAGAGGTTACGACTGGAGAAGAGAAATCTTAAAAAATTACGATTGTCTTTCTGATAGGTTTATATTGAGTCTGTTTAGTCCACATGTGAGCGGGTCCATTTTCAGTGAGGTAGGATTAAGCTAAACTTCTCGGAGTATATCCGCACTAGCACCACCTATCGTGTCCCGATTCAACAATTGTTGGTTTCATATGCAAGAATCAGTGATTTGACTAAGCATAGCGGCGAATCCCATTCGTCCGAATCCCATTAGAGATTACAGAAACCCAATAATCCGGAAAGTAACAATATAAATATCCCTCAGGAATCGGATATACCCTATATTCAAAACCTCCCAGTACATAACCCTTACAGGCCCGTAGCCAGGATTTGCCAAGGGGGGGTTCAGTTTTCAAAAATTTCCAGGGGGGGTTCACATTTGCCAATTTTGGCCCAAATATGGCTAAAATCACAAGAGAAGTGCTCAAAATGGTGAAAAACTGCATGATTTTGAAAGAATTGTTGGCCAGGGGGGGGGGGGGGGTGTTCGCCCGAACCCTGCGAACCCCCCCTGGCTACGGGCCTGCCTTATATGTACACCTGGGTATACCCTTCAATGTTCGACTCTCCGATTAAAACTCTTGTCTTTGAACTTGAATACACTACTGCCATCTTTTTATCGGCCTGAAACTTACCATATAATGTATTCACCCCACGCAATAAATATTTAGCAGTTATGTCCCTATCATTGAATATATGCCTAAGGTCTGTCACCAATATAGCCCGAGCTTGCGAGGGTTATATTACGACAGACCGAAGGCATACATTCAATGATACGGACATAACTGTTGTATTACATACTTTTATATCATGGCTACGTTATGTCAATGACGCCACGTGTCTGTGTGCGAGTGAAATTAGGAAGAAATGAAACATGACGTCCCGATGACGTCATAAGATTGTCATGGTAAAAGGTTTGGCGGCTATACAGGAATATATAGCCGACCCTCAGCTCCATTGACTTCAATACAAATGCTTCGCTGGGTATGTAATACATCAATGTAAAACAGCACTTTTGCAGGATGCAGACTTCGAAAAGCAAAAACAAAAGACTAAGCTAAGTTATTAAATTGTAATATGTTGCCAAAGCAGATTTCAATCTCGTAGAAGGCAGACAACAGAATCACAGATTTTCAGACTTCAAGACAGCTGATTGCGCAGAATTTCAGACTAAAACAAATTCCACATATAAGCAGACTACGCGCGTACAATTACCAATTCATGAAAAATAAACATCAAACATAATCTGCAGAATGCATACAATAGGTAAACTTCCCATAACTGTGGTACACGTTTTCTGTTAGTATGAACTATTTAAAAAATGTTGCATCCATTCTCAATTAGTAACTAGGCTCATTTCCATGAGTGAAATGGACGAAAATTGAAGTGGGTTTAATTTGATGTTTTATTATTTTGCCTTGATATTGAATCATATGTCAGAAATTTTGAAGATTTATGTGTGAAACAAACTCACATTGAAGACAATAATTACAGATGAACTTATTTTTCCTTTTCACGAAAAAAGTGCTACACGTAATTACAATTTTGAAGAAAATCAGTCTAACTACGTTACATTTATCTTTCTTTTCTGATGATGTATACTGTATAGTATGAAGAATAAAATGATGGTTACGTCTTGTTGTTTGATACACCAGGCATTATTTAATTAAGATTTATATATCATAACACCCTTGGTAACGTATATGATCCAAAATAGGAGCATCGTAGAATCAGTTATATCATTTTGAAATAATTGCAAAATATAAACTGATGTTTCTTATGTCATGTTTACACTGAAGTTTAAGCAATAATAACACTTGAAACAAACATAGTCCAATGCCTCATCATGTCAACTAAATGATGGTGAAACTCACTAAATTCTAAAATAGCGACATTAAAGATAAACCAATCCCAACTATGTATGCAGCACATAATAGTAATTAACTACTAGTAACTGCAACATGCGCTACATGTTTTAAAGAATAAATGCAGGATTAAAGTTATTTTTTCTTTCTTTACACATTTTGAATGCTGGAAGCCTTTGTAACGTAAATGATACAAGACTCACAATCGCGGAATCAATACTATTTAGTATAAAATATGTAATTATCGTCAAAAAGAAGCAACGCTAAGTGTCTCCTGATATCATACGATACATAACTTCACTTATTCCTTCATATCCTTAACTTGGTCAAATAGATCTTGAACCACGTTTGCATCTCAGGACTCAGTTTGAATAGGTTTTTAGATTTCCCTGTTGGGATCGGCTCTTCCATGACAGATAAAATATTGGAGGTTTTCAGACAAATAAAGTCACTTTTTAGAGGAAGAAGACACATTTTGCTACTCCATAAACTAAATTCCTTATCATCAATATCTACACGCAGTACCTTTCCAACTTACAAAACATATTCATATCAGCAGTTATCATAAACTTCAGTGACATATTCGCCAGCGTGTACCCCTATATCTTCACTGTCAGTATGCATGTTTCTGTATAGGGTATAATACATACCTTAAATTGCGTAGTTTTTCTTTACTCCAATAAGGTGGTAGAATTTCTTGATTCAGATTCAAACCAATATGTGAGCTTAAATTTCCCTCGTTATGAACTTTATTCAGAGCTAGGAGTATGGTAATAGTTATTTTCGTACCACAAGGTAACAAAAATGATGGTATAGTAAATGATGCAAACGACCCTCTCGCTGTTGTATTGTATTCAAACAAAGTTAAATTGGCTGAACATAGTGATCAATCCGGTGCACCCCTACCATATGTTACCACTCACTTTTTGACATTAATTAGTCAATTAATTAACTTATTATACTATTTAATATCATTGATATTTATTTTGATATCATTGATAGTACCCCACACACTAATTAGTCACAAACTTTTAAACCTGTTTTAAACATTTTCCCTTTATTCAATCACCATGAAATTTTTCACAGCTAAATTAGAAACAATTTCCAACATTCAATTTTTTTTGATTTGTCTAACTATGCCAGGTGTTCATTTTGCAGAGAAGTGAAGTTGTTACATTGTTTCGCATTTTTTCACATTTTGTTGCTATTTTGTAGCAAAATTGACCTTTTGCTGCTCATTTTGAATTTGTTTACCATGCAGATTACAGAATTGTAGTTCAAGTTGAGGTATCAAAATGAAGGGGGTTAAAGGTTTTCTCCCAGGACAACTTAATCCATCTAATATATTTTAAATCTACCAGAGAAGATACATCTATGTACAAGAGCCCTACCGTTTCATCGAGAGCATACACACCACGGAGGAGAAGTGACATACTTCAACAAATTTCCCAAGGGAAAAAGATCTCTGAAGTTGCTGCAAATCATGGGGTTACAACAAGGGAATGTACTAAAAACCCTTCGACCCTTCGACCCTACGACCTACGACTTACAGGGTGTCAAGAATTTTTGAAATATATTTTTATAAAAACCCTTCGACCTTCTATTTTCTATCTTTCTTTCTGTCCGATCAACAATAAGTACAGTTATACAAGAAATGTAAACGAAGTGAAAATATTCCCAAGGCATGTCATTTCCGGAAGTTATGATACGTTATATTACCGAACATGCGTGAAAATGGAACGTTTGTTCGTTCATTTTACGAGAGCTAAATAAAATGCGAACATCCAAGCATCAGGTATGACTCCACCATTGTTTGGCGTTTTACAACTTGCCACAATCAACCTCACTGCCAGGATATCAAACAAGGCCCATTTTCCATCAAACTTGGCCCAACTACTATCAGGCGGATGTCCTTGAAAAATCAAGTTGACATGGTTACCAAAACCTAATAGTTGCCATGGCAACCATAGAAATGGGCTAAAAAAAGAGAGCAAAAAGCACCCAAACCCACCATAATGGCACTAATTTTTAAAATATTTCTAGATATACAAATTTTCTTAAACTTTGATATCATCTAGAACACTTGTCAAAAAATTTGGGGGTAGGTTTACCACTTCGATTTTTTTCTAGGCTTGGTCAAAGTAAAACTACGAAAAAGCATTAATTTTACTTTTGAATCACCTATTATCGCCCAAATGGCTATTATATTTTTTCAAGGTCAAGGTCGCCATGCTAAAAGTTGAATTACGGAGATAAATCTGCTCTTCAGACAA